AATTGACAAGGGTGTCTCCTTAAGACAGGATTTGTGGACATAAACACCAGTCTTGTTTTCACAAATTTGCACATCTGTGTATGCAATTTGTGGCTTAATGAAAAAATGCAACTTGTGGGAATTTCAGAATAGCATATGCATAGTAACATAAGGAATGTAGAACTTGTCAGGAATGCAAAGGGCTCTGCCTACCTGGGATGGGATCACCTTGGAAGAGCCAAGTCCAGAAACTCCAAGGCTACACATCTCAGAGACGGTGAATTTAAACAGATTCAATAAACAACAAGGCTGTTTGGAGTATGCAACTGTCATCCAAACTTACCTTTCTCTCCTACTCAAACCTGTTTAGTCTTGGAAGCAGCTAATCCCACCACGCATCTTTCTGTTTGATCATAGGCACCTATATTTTCCATGAACTTCAACTGCAGTAGGCCAAGAAACAATATTCCTTTGAAGTAAGACCTATGGTTTTGTTCTAGGCTGACTCTTTTTGGGAGAATACTACATCTAAAAATGTACTGAAAAGTTTTTAAAGAGGGCTTGGGGTCTTTCTGGTGTAGAATATTAGTAAGTCCATTTACACATGCAAAAATTCTTCTGCTTGGAGACAGGCCCAAACCCACTGGAAGTGACAGTCTCAGTAATATCAGAACTTTGGGTCAGGACTTGAACAGTATCAGTGTACCTGCAAACACTCTCATGCAGGCACAAGCTCAGCACAGACTACTTGTGTTGCAGCATTGAAATAAACAAATAATGATTCCCACTCATACAGTGAAAGACTGCAATGCTGCAAAGGGGCAAGGCTAAGAACTAATACGAATCAGAGAATCACAGGATGTGCTGAGTTGGAAGGGACCCACAAGGATCATTGAGTCAAACTCCCATCCCTGCACAGACCCATCCCCAAGAGTCACATCATTTGCTTTGTACAGCTTCCTGAATATTAAAGGATCATCCTTTAGTGCACTCCTGAGGTAGCTCTGGTGGCACATATAACGTTACATTCATAGGTTTTAAGCCTCTGTGGGCTTACACATGAACCCTCTGCTCAGACATAAAGTTTCTAAGTATTAGCTAGAATTTTTAGCACGTTTCTCCCACATCTCGTTTTCTGGTACAAACACCTGTGGAAAGAAAATTTCTAGAATAAGGATAGGTATGTATGTGTTGGGGGTGCTGGTGTTTGGTTTTGGCAGCAGTTACTGTGGTTAGCACACATTTGGATCAAACACAGCAGCAAAACGCTGAGAGCGATACATGGGGGCTTTTGTGTTTCTGCTCCCAACGCAATCCTGGCCCACAGCAATCTTGGAAGGGAGGCAATACTCCTTCCAGCTGCAGAAATGGCAAGCGCCCTGCCTTTTCTTGTTGTACAGTGTTTGTTTTGTTTTTATTTCTGTTTTGTTACTTGAGAGCGCCTTGGAAACAGCGAGTCCCGGCGCCAGCGCCCTCTGCCGCCGGGCGCCCTCAGGGCCCGCGGAGCCCTCGCCTCCCTCATCCCATTCCCAACAAAGGCTCGCCACGGCCCGCAGTTCCGAGGGCAGCGAGAGTTCCCCCTGCTGCCCGGGGGAGGAGGAGATTCAGCTGTCTGGATCCAGCCCAAAAGATTCTTTTGTTTTCCACTTTATGTCGTTTCCTGACTTCAGCTTCCGGTTAACGACGACTCGTGCAGACACAGCCCCCGCTCGTTCCTTGGGGCTAAATCCACAAAGGATTAACTTCACGCTGTTGCCATGAGGAGCTGGCAGCACGCTGTTAGGCAGCTAAGCATACCCATTAATTACACAGCAAATTTAACCAGACCAACAAATGCAAAACAGTCAGCAAGAAGTTTCTCGAGTGAGCAGGAAGGAAGTGTCAAGAGTCACGTCCCAAGGCTCCTTTGCTCCAAACCCTGGGCATTGGCATATATTCCACACTGGAGACATTACCTGATTGCTCGGGAGTTACAGCTTCGGGAGTTACAGCACCTCACCAGCCAAACGAAGCAGAGCTGCATTTGCAAACCAGGTTGAAATCCCTTCTTGCAGGCAAGAGCTGTAACTACAACTCCACAGCATTGTAATCATGGGCCCTCCCTCTGGATTCACCTGTTATTAATTATTCCACTGCAAAGGGGTAAAGCTCCCAAGGGGAGACCTCTCACACAGACCTCACTGAGCCCAGCAGCTGGACATTCACAGGATATAACAAAGTCGGGACAGGGCTGATTCACATCATATAATTTAACAGCTGCTTCTAGTCCTGAATTATCAGGGCTTTTAATATTTTAAATTTTTAAAACCTTTTCTTCCTGCTGTAGATGTGTTGAGAGTGCTTACAAGGAGAAGAACTAGAGGCTTGGTAAATTAGAGGGTGAGGGCCAAAGATATGAACAAAAAAAATTACATCACTGGACACTGCTACCCAAGCACTAAATAAAGGATCTGTTAGCAAAATAAAAAACAACAACAAAAAAAGAGAGACCATGGAAATTTATTTACTTTTTATCTATGAACAGTATGACATATAATTATAGACAAGTTTTGATACACAGGAAAACCCTTTTGTCAACCATTTTTTTGCTAAATGAAACAGCACAATAATCTTTACACATTCATATTTTGTTTTTGTTTTTTTTTCTTTACAATACACAGCTTTCTTGGGTTGAAGCTAACTGCAGGACATATTGAGTACTGGTATATTACAGCTACTTACATCATTTAAGAACAGCAAATGGAGAAAAATAAGTTATTTAAATATTGATTTCATATACAGAAAGTGCAACTTTGTTAGTTGTTACATAACTTGCTTGACAGTTTTGATTCCCCAAAGGGTGTCAATTAATGCTAAAAGTATCTTGGACTGAAAGTATTATTTATTCTAAAATAATACAGTACAACTGCACAGCTGTGACTTGGTGAATCGACCACTATTGCTGCTCTTAGATATGATGGCCTGTTTGAATAATACAATGTTTAATGCTTCTGATTATGCTCCCAGTCTGCATTCACAGCCAGGCTCATATAAGAGCACAGGGAATGGCCACCTGGGTAGCAACAGCAGGTTATTGATCAAAGCATATGATTAGGATGGCATTTGGTAGTATTTTGGGCTTACTGCTTCTATTGTTAAATAACTGTTTGAGTTACTAAGATACAGTGGATAGATACTTAACCTGGTGAGCCTGAGCAGAGCTGATGAGGATTCCAGCAGCAGGTTTCTTCTGTGCTTTCCAAGAGTTAATGAGTGAACTTTTGCTTAGAGCACTGAAGTTTGCAAGAAGGTGCAAGAGGTTATGGCTCTCGTAATGTACCACCTCACCTGCCTGGGGAATGCCACAGGTCACTGAAACCACAGCAGGGAAGCTCAAACACTGAGAAGCTTAAGGCTTTTTTTAGATTAGAGTATAAACTAAAATTGAAATTCAAGTAACACTACAAAGTACAGTCTTTAAAAGAAAACAAAACAAATATTAAAACTCATAAATTTCAAACTGCTCACTTCAGTTCTGATGGGTGTGATTTGGTTTCCCTGGATCACATAATCATTTAAAAAGAATGGATTTACAAAGAGAGTTTGGCAAACAGGTTCAGCTCATTCCCATAATTCTCCTTTTATTAAGGGAGGGGAAAGTGATTAATATGGGAGAGCTTTATTATATGATTTTCTTCCCTGCAACACAAAGAAATTTGTTTCCTATTTTATTGCTATAGCCAGCTTGGACTTTTCCCTTGCCCCAGTATAACTGCTGTCTGCTTACTTCTACTCTGTTCTGGTTCCTGCCAGCAATCCCAGGAAGTCTCAATACTCTTTCCATCTCCTGCTTACTGATAGTGACCATGTAAGCCTCAGAGAGGAACAAGAGAAAAATAAAAATGATTTTTTTTTTTTTTTAAAGAATCATAGAATATACTGAGCTATAAAAGAGGATCCATTGAGTCCAACTCCTGGCCCTGCACAGCACTATCCTCAAGAGTCACACTATGTACCTGAGAGCATTGTCCAAATGTCTCTTGAACTCAGACAGGCTTGGAGCAGTGACAACTTCCCTGGGGAGCCTGTTCTAGTGCCCAACTACTTTCTGGGTGAAGAAACTTTTCCTGATATCTCCAACCTAAACCTCCCCTGACTCAGCTTCAGGCCATTCCTTTGGGTCCTGTCCCTGGTCACCAGAGTGAAGATCAGTACCTGCCCCTCTGATTCTTCTTGTGAGGATGTTGAGACTGCAATGAGGTCTCCCCTCAGTCTCCTCCAGGTTGAACAGACTCAGCTGTTCCTCAAAAGGCTTCCCCTCCAGACCTTTCACCATCCTCGTGGCCCTCCTTTGGATGCTCCCCAATGGCTTAATGTCATTTTTATATTCTGATACCCAACACTGCACACAGGACTCAAGGCGAGGCTGCACAGATTTTCACCAGCTGTATAAAACATGTCTGCTGTATGTCTCCTGATTTTGTCATATCAGAACATGCTGCTTATCAGACACCAAGGAGAATATTACAGAGCTTCGCTTGAGAACAATTTCAAATGTCATCAGTGACTTTGTTGCCTTCATATGATGTGTGCAGTAGACACTGGTGAAATACAAAATGTGGGAAGTAAACCTAACAGCTATCAATTCTACCAGGAGACAAATTAGTTATCATGTGTAGTAAAATGCATATTCATTCACTTTAAACATGACCATGAAAGGACCGGATATAGTAAGGAATCACAGAGTAACCACAATTTTTCATTCATCAATCTGACAGCATTTTATCAGAAGTCATTAGCTCAGTATGAGACCGGGATAATTGGGGCACCAAACAGTGAAGTGCCTTGTCTGGTTTTATGCAGTAAATTGATGCCAGAACTGACATTGGAAACAGCCACACATCCCTGGGCCTGTGCCCAGGTTTCTATTCTATCTCCCTTTACCTGCCAGACTAACCTTGCTCTGTTTTCCATGGAGCATTTGCACTACAAGGAGCTGAAGGACACACCATATATAGACCCCAACGAAAGAGCTGGTTATATGCTATTCATGATAATTTGTATTTGGTATATAAAATGTGTACCCAACATAGAAAAATAAAATCTGTCATTAGTCACGTATGCGACTGGAACGTTTCACATGGAGTTAGGCAGAAAAATATCATTGCATCATGAAAAATGGTTTATCACATTTGCCAGAACAATGCTGTTTTCCAGTGAGAGGTAATATTAATGCAGTGGTAAGGGATATCAACAGTTCTAAAAATCACAGTGTTTTTCATAAGACTATCTGGGAATTTTATTGTCCATGCAATGGAATTACTGGGTCTAATGATTTCTATGGGACACATTTTGCTTTTTCAATGCAAGTGAATTTTCATTTGCAGAAACCCACTGTTTGGAATCAATATGGTCAGGATACCAAGTCAAAGCTGCAGCATAATGATTGACAATATAACACAGTACACAGAATATGATTAAAATGAAAAGCAGTTACATATATACAAGGCAGTATATCTTGGAACAGTTTAGTAACAACAGTAAATGCAGACTGTAGTGAACAAGGAGTTAACCTGACAACCGAAACTTAGCATAACCCTGCATTTGTAAAAGCACCTCTACAACACAGGAGATGTTATGATGAGGCATTTTATAGAAGCTACTTCAGCTGGAAATCACCCTAAATGCAACTTAAATGTGACAGGTTGAAACAAGGCTCGGGAAATGTGAATACAGGTAAAGTGAACACTAGGTAACTGCTTAAAAGCTTATTTTAAGGCAAATAAAAAGCTGATTGCTAAAAAGCAGTTATAAAAATGACCTCAGCTCTGTACAAATAAAAAGAAGCTTTCTGACTCTTTGTGGATTAGTTGCATTGAAGTGACAGAGATGGACCACACTGAAAAGTAATTTCAGTCCATCAACTTCAGCCTAGCTAAAGGCTTTGTGGCAACTGGGACCTACACCAAGCAACAGCAAAGATGACTGGGGAGGGTTTTGTGTTTAGCTCTAGACTGCTAAAATAAACAAAAGGCATTTGCCAAACAGCTTCTACTGGAATTTGCACCTTGATTTGTACCTGGTACTTTAGGACTGATTTCAGGTACCTGGAACCTAGATGTACAAAAGACCTGTTACTAGTATCACTACCACAAACTCGAGGAAAATGTGCAAGCGTCCCTTAATTCTTTGAAGCTGTCTGATTCTCAGGCCAACCCTGTGCAGTTTATGAAACAGGAATACTTTAGATGGGAGTGAGGGGCGAGGGAAGTACCACATCTATGTTACCTGGTAGTTGCCTCTCTTCTCCTTCAGTCGCCTTTCATAACCTTTGCAGAAGGTATCTGCCTGTCCTGGGGAGCCACTTCCTTGATCCCTTTAGCTACGTGAAGTAATTAGAGCGATACTGGTGCAGGAAGAAGCAGTGGATTCTCGACCAGGCAATGTCACACTATGGAGCCTGTTAAATTGCCCCTGGATCAAGAGGTTTGAAGAGTCTTGCTGCTGCCAGTAGCTTGCTTATGTGCCTTTCCTCTGTGATGCCAGCTTTTTGAAGGCAAGTTTGTGACAGAGAAGGCACTTTGCTCAGTGTGTTGAATCCTGCTTCAGTGAGCAGGCTGGAATACATAGGCAGACCAATGGAAATCAGCCAGTCAGATACAGAGGTGATGAATCCTGGGGATACAGGTTTACGGCAAATTTCTGTGAGTCCTCCACTTGGAATCTGGGGAGTAAAAAAAGAAAGAACAGAGAACTCTTAATGTTAAACGCATCCGCTTGTTTCACAACAAGTCTTTTTTGTTTGTTTTCTCTTCCAAACTGGTAGAATTTCATAGCAGATGTTCTAAGTTCTCTCATGTCACATTTGTCAGTATGAGACTGGTGTGGGCTGAAAGGCTCAGATCCCTTGGCCAGAAGCAGTGATAACAATTTTGGCAATATAGACAGAGTGGGCAGTATCCAGCTGCTTGGCTGACTTTTATGTACTGTTCTGAATTATTTAGAGATCAGTGAAGAATACCCAGTAACAAGACTTTTCAGAGTGATCCATTTAATTTTTCAGTAAGGCAAGAGAATACCAGTTTTGCCTATTACCTCCTCAGACAGACCAAGTTCTCTCAGAAAAAGCCATTAAAATTTTTGATGGTTTCTCCCTTCTGCTTTTGCTAAGTAGAAGTGGACACTAGCATAGTTTAAGAAATGAAAAAGGAGTGTAAAGCCTTTCAAATTTTAATACAGAAGTATTTAAACATGCCACCCTTAGCGAGCAAGTCTCTGTTACCACTGCTTGGAGTCTGCTTAGACTTTTAAGATCATTATTTGGTCAAGAGAGGGCTATCCACTCTTCTTTCAACTTCTGACTGTACTCTTTTGGGACTGGGGGAGGTACCTCGTGCCCCTGCAGTACCTCTACCTATATTGTACCTTCTGGATGAACATAAGGAGCACTTCTGTACCAGGACTTCTCAAGTATCTCTCTTTACTACTAGTCAGTCCTTCCAAAAGTCTGCTCACAAATAAGAAAACCTGCTTTATGGAAATACTCACTGCCATGCGATGCTGCTTCCTCAGCTGCTTTACCCGGATTTGGTCCATGTTTGTGGCCACATCCTTTTCAGGCTGCTCTAAGTCTTCAGAGTACCTCTGCACCAAAGCCTCAGGAATGCCACAGCGACCATGCTGAATGTTCCCAGCCAGACACAAAGGAGAGAGGACAGATTAAGGAAGTGTATCTATACAGACCAAACCAACCAATGAAAAATGAGAAGTGCAGGATGGGAGCAAGAAGGAGCTTTTCTCGAGGTCCCATAAAAACTGAAAAAGCAATCCCTGAAAGACCCCTTTCTTCATCCCACAAAAAGATGTACTAGTTGATACTATCAATTCAGAGTTTCTTGGAAATATAAACTCTAATTATTATTTTCTTTTTCAGCTCTATTGCCCCACATTAGCAGAGAAAGGCACATTCCCATGCCCAGTGCCACCAAGGCACCAGTAGTCTGAAAAGATGAAGGTTCAGACTAAGTCTGGGATTTCTGAGTCCCCCACAAGAAATACTTTAGGCATAACGTCTGATAGCAAAGACAAACAAGAGTTATAGAATGTCTAATGTCTCAATGACTGTTGGTTTATGTTACCCACAAAAAAAAAAGACAGATACAATGAATGACAGACTATCCCTTGGAATGCTAGCAGAATAAAACCACTGAAGTGATTACTACTTACCTTGTCTGAGTACGGTTCTTCAGTAAGATCAATGTCTTCAGACTGCAGCTTGTTTTCTATCACCATTTCCAGATCCATTCCTCTGCTGCAAGAGACTTTCCTTGATGATGCAGGACCGAGCTTTACCACGTGCTGTTGAACACTAGCAGTCTCTGGGAGCTCCGACAGCCAGGGTGGCAGTGGGCTTGGAGGGCTACTGGGCTCTTGTTCAGAAGATGTCCTATGGATAGGTACTCCATGACAATCAATGGGAATGGATGAGCTGGTCTTTTTTACTGGCAAACATGGTGCTTCTAAGCTTGAGTTGTTTCCGCTTATGGTCGTGGGAGGATGATATAATCCATTAGAAAGGCGTTCTCGGCATTTTTTGGCAGGGACAGGTGGTGGCTGAGAAGGATTTTTTGGTTGCATTCTTGCCTCATTTGTGCTTTTTTGCTCAGCTTCTAGACCTCCCTTGAGGACTGGAGCATAATCAGCCCGTGCAAGGTCATGAAAACCTTTACTCTGTATTTCCAGAGGCGTCCTTGTTGCATGATGCATCACTAAGGCAGGCTGAGCTTCACAGTTTTTCAGGGGGAATGGAGCAGGCTTTCCACCTGCAGTCTCCATTACAGAGCAGTTCAATTCCTTAGCTCTTCCCTTCTGAGAATTAGCAGCTCCTTTGCCCTGCTTAGCGATGACATCATCTACCTTGCAGCTGCCTCCATGAGACTGAGGCGGCAAAGCAGAGCCAGTTGCCTTTTTAGCAATATCCAGTGAATCCTGAGGAAAAGAACCTACTTTCTTGTTAGTGTCCTGTAAGTTAGTATTGGCTTCTCCCTGGAGATCATCCAGTGACTGAGATCTTGGCCATGTATCTACACCCTGGGGGCCATCCAGAGTTTCATAGCTTCGACACACAGCAACTGGTAAACTTCTGCGGTTCTTCTTGAGACCCGTGACGGCCGGAGGCTTGACAGAGCTCTTCAGAGCACGATGTGCACAGCCCAGCCGGCTTTCTTTTTCCCCTGGCTGCAGAGTTTCTATTGACTTGGTCAGTGGAAGCGTGGGATAATTTGATAGCTGGTTTCTGCTGAAATCTCTAAAGCTATGCTCACTTGCTGATTTTGAGGGCGGAAGACAGGTCCTTCGAGTTTTACCTAGAAACAAATAAATACACCATTAAAAATAAAATCTGCAGCCTAAATAACATCCCTTCCAAATGCTTTTGAAACAAAATGATTTATTCTTTTTTTTGTTACTTCTAAATGTAGAAGAACTCACTGGCATTTCAAGCATAAAGATTTGATTCGAACTTCAGCTTTATTAGTAAATGTTACCTGTTACGTAAAATACATCCAAACCATTTAATATCCTTCCTACTCTCCAGTTTGCAGAGATTTGAGGTTTTGCTCATATAAACCTTGTTCAGTGTAGAAACACTGTATCCTACAAGTTAGAACTGATACCCTATACTTATTGTACGAAGTGGTTTGACAGTCCCCCGCAAAATAACTCAAAAGATGTACATTTTTTTCTTCGTCTCTAATTTTAGTAAATAAATAATAACGTTCATCTTTTAATAAAGTTTACTAGTCCACATAGGATTTTTTAAAAAGACTCTGTTTATGAATTTTTAAATTATATGCCAATAGTGTTATTTCTTCTTTTAAATAAGCAGCAAACTATTTGCAATGGCAAAACAGAGAGCATGAAAACTGGTTTTGCCCAGTCAGCTCCTTTGGAAAGCTACTTGCAGGGATGGCCGAGTTTTACAGAAGAAGACCTTATGAGATGGAGAAGTGTTTCAAAAAGGAGTTTTAAGTGTGATTAATGTTAGTGTTAATTTCAAGTCATAGTGTGTACTTTTAAGCAATAGATACTTTCTTCTTGTACTGTTTGCCTTCAGAGCTTTATCCTGCTAGGAGTTCAGTGCTTGGCTTTTGAATAATATACACTGTTCACCTTGCATATGAATGAAAGAACATGTTTAACCTAAACCAATAAATACCTTGCATTCTCCTGCCTCTTACTCTGCTTAAGAAGTTTGAATACCAAAGTGTCCAGAAAACTAGCAAAGAAGATATAAGGAGATATAAAGAAAACACTCCCGTCAAAAAAAGTTAAAATCAAGGTGAGCCCATAAAGACGAATGTGAGCACATAGCAACTCCTTTCTCAGAAGCTGCACTATTCACAGTTCAAGCGAAATATCACAATTTCCCCAAAATGCTAATAGAGACACAATCTCACACTGAAATTTTCTCTGTTCATGCTACCTTGAGTTCAGGTAACTCAGAGAAGTAGCAGAAAGAACCTCCTTCTGTGGAGCTAGGCCACTGCCTTCTGAAAATAACTTGCAATCACATTAGAAAGATGGACAAGAAATGTTATATTCATTTTGTAGTGCCTCCAGGTGCTAATGGCAATATTTAATGAGCATGGAGTGTTCTCTTTCCATGCTAGCACATGCCTGACTTGTGCAGTAATTTACCCTATTGTCTGGGACTTGCTGTCACAGCTCATGCGACAAAATCCATGTGCTTTCTTTTCAATCTGATATATTGATCAGGAGTTACACTGATTTTAGGAAAGTCCACTCAGGAACCTCAGCACTAAAAGAAAAGTTGTGGAAAACCCTACTGTTGTGCAATATAAGCTCTTGCTGAACCCATAAGGGTTATCTAGTAAGCGTTTAATTTCTTTAGAAATGGGATATGTCTGTGTAAAGCCAGTAGCCTGGGAATGAAAAAAAGAAGAAATGAGGAACAGCAAAATGAAGGAAAAAAAAAACAAACAAGAAAAGAGAAATTATATGTTAGGCATACATATACAAATGAGGTGAGAACGGGAAGAAGTTAAAAATATTTTGTCTATATCATATGTAACCAAACATGCAATCTTTAAGATCTCTGCTTCAAAATGGTTTAAAAAGATACGGATGGGTTCAATGCTATTGCTTTGTACAAAGGACATTAGCAGAGAACGTAATTTCTTTTAATGTGATATAAGTGAAAAGCAATATCGGGAGGGGAGCTATGATTTATTTCTCTTTTTCGTCTATTCCTTCCCTTCTCGTGACTGTCAGTAAAATTTCATTATGCTTCTGAGACACTAAAACAGGAAGGTAATATTTCCTGAAAACAGATTTTTAAATATATTTTAAAGTTGTTTTCACGAAGTGGAGAGTTATATAAATAATCTCCACAAACGTAACATTCCCTACCTTAAGGGAAGAAAGGAAACAACTTGAAAGGCTTAAAGTGTATAGCTAGTAAAGTTTAAACCAGATTTTTAATGTTGTGATTTTTGATAATAACTCAGTCTTGTGAACCCTTGGTACAGTTATGCAGTCTAATGCCTTTCATATGGCTGTAAACCAAAGAGGCATCTCTGATTCAAATTTGTGCAGGACACAGATGTCTGGGTAAAAAATTAGACTACAAAACTGGTCCTTGCACAAAATTCAAAACTTACATTATTTACAGGTTCAGTTCAAGCTACAGGCAATAATTCAACTCTTCTGTTGGATGGTGTGGTGCAATTCTTGCTAAACAAAGCACTGCCCACCTCTCGTGATACTTCTTGCTATTACCATATACAGAAGGAACCTTTCCATTCCATGCCTTCATCTGCCTCAGAAGAGAGGGACTATCTTGGGGAATCTTTCTGGAGGTACCATAGCTACAGCAAAAAATTTTCAGCTTCTCATAGTATTTTTTTTTTTCTTATGAAAGATGGTCCTTAGAAATTTGAGTATGCAAAACCAGACACAGAATGCAGTGTCCAAATCCCAGATTTTATTAACTGCATTTTGGTATTGCTTTCTGTGGCTGTCTTTTGGGTTCATTTCAAACTGCTCTGCTGACACAACAAAGATGATGGCACCTTAGACAATACTAGCCTCATTGCTTTTTCTATTGATTACAAACTACTAGAAATACACATTACATTAGGCAATGTGGCCACTTGTTCTTTTGCTTCCTTTTTTGGCTAACCAGCACTGAATGATGAAGTGCTTAGGTTGCCTGCCTGGTACTATGGGAATCCGGGCATCAGTTGCTGAACAAATCAGAGAACACCCTTATCTCAACCTGATAAAGGCCTAGTTTGTCTGCTCATTCAAGTCTGCACACTGCACCTGCAATTCTTATCTCTTTACATGCCCTTGAAAAAGCTACACAATGTAACAAGCTTCAAAGAAGCTTGACATGAACAGGGATGGGATGACCTATACAGAATAATTAATAGGCCTTCTCAGACTAGCAAAGAGATGACTTGGGAAGGAGTATGACAGAGGTCTTTAGAGGTCTAGATACTCCTAGGTATGGCGGTTCTATGGAAGACCAGGGACATTCATAAAAAGTTTCAAGAAAATCAGTGAATGCCAGGGAAGAGCAAATTTTCAAGTCCTTAAATGAGTCATTCCCCAAGACTGTCCTGGGAAGCATTAGATATGCATGCTCTGTTCTGTAGCTATCTGCTTTTGACCAGTCTTGTGAGAACCAGATTTCTGATAGGGTTTCCAAATGCACCTCAATCTGTTGACACCTGCACACAAAACAAGCCCAATAACTGCACCATTGTCACAAGTCTAAGAGACAGCTTGCTCTCTGTGCCCTGTTTCTGTATGGACTAATTGTCTGACCATGGATGGTTACTTCCTGCTATGAGGTTTTTTCTGTCTAACACTGAATAGGTCACAGACTATGTGTTCCTTGATCTCTGTGAATGGAAATAAAACCACAATGGTGCTGTAAGTACACTGTAGATACCTAAGAGAATATCCAAGTATTTCTGCAGCAGGACCCAGAAAAGTACTTACAAAAGATACTCACTACAGTACATAGCAAACCATTTTCTAGCCAAAATGTAAGAGCAGCTCTGACATATTGAACTGATGCCAAAAGATCCAGTATCAGCCCCAAACTGGACACTGTACTAGTTATAAAAATATTATGTATAACCATTCCCCATAAAATCTGAATGCACTTGCCCTTTGTGAAGTGCAGATCTTCACATTATGATATTTATACCAGACAAGTGACTATCCTAAATAAGAACAGAATGTATTTTGAAAAAGAAAATGCATATAAACAACTATGGACCATGAACTTTGCAAAGAAGATGGAGTACTTTTCAGATTAAATAGCCTTGACAAAATCTCTGAATGAGTCAAATGTTCTTTTCATTATGGTTTTCAAAACAAGCACTAAATGCATTTGTGAGCAAAAATGATGTAGAAATGCAGCAAACAGTACATAAAAAACAATATAAAAATCATCAGCATTTCACATTCTGGAAACCTCTGACAGAAATATTAGTTTAAATGTAAATATCCAACCAGACAGGCAATGCCAATTGCTTTCTAAAGGTTTTTATTATGTTGTTAAAATAAGGAAAATGTACAGGCACTTTAACTTCAGTGTTACAGCTATCATTATGATTGTACTTAAGAGACAAAAAGAAAATAAAATTGTCACATATACCATATATTTAGCTATGATTCTATTCCAGCATGCCTAGTGGATGTGGATTCCTATTCAAGAAAAGAGCCTCCCCACTTTCAGGAATTTAGTCTACTGTCAATTTCAGGCATTCAGCTTCAAAGCAAATTGCAATTTTCTTCAATAAATGGTTCTTTTTTAGTGGCAGACTAACAGCAAATGTACATACTAAGAGAAGGATTTTTAGCTCTTACTTTAAATTGGAAAACTGGCCACTATAGGGGTATACAGAATCTGTTTATACTGTCCTTGGTTTCCTATTTATGGTGAATGTTAGCAATGAATCCAGGCAGTCTGAGGCCAAGACATGCTTGGAGTGAAAATGCCCAGCTCAAATCCGTTTCAACTCTTAATATTTCACCTCTAATGACAAGTTTAGACGATCCCTGAAGTAAAACATGCTCAATCAGCACATTAATCTGTTTCTTCAGCTCAGAGACAGCAATCTCTATTAATATCATCTGTCTTGGTAATTTTTCAGTGCATCACCTTTCACTGATGCAGGATAAGGCAATAGGAACTGATATAATTAGCATTTTTTTCATAGTTTCTTTCCTTGCCAACTTCTCAATAGTGTAGTGTTCCTACACTAAAAAGTCTTAAATCTCTGCAGCTGGGTTCTGATCAGAGGACAATGCAACATGCAACCCAAAGCAAACAGAAAAATATGGCCTAAAATAAAGAATATTTTTCTCTTAACAGCTTTTGTATGGGTTCAAAAGAAATCCTCCTAATCTTAGTAAAGTTCAGAGACTTCTCCATTGGTGGTCTCTTAGGCTTGGGACATCAATGTGCAACCAGTGCAAGCCCCACGAGGCACGGTGGCATGAGAATATGACTGGGAGTGGAGAAGGCGGGGGAATGGCAGTGAGAAAGACTTGCTTTAGGGTCATGAAACAAAGACTCTTTGTGAAATGGGATCAGCTTCCTACTAATGCAAAGAAATAAATTAGCAACAGTAGCAGTGAAAACCAATGGCTCCAGACAAGAGGGAAAGAGGTAGTCAGAGCAAAGGACAAAGACAAGTAGGAAGTAGCTTGTATTAGCTAGGAACAGGAGCAAAAGTATATTAAGTTATCTATTAGAAAAAGAAGACTGCAGGAACTATAAAGCTCATTGCTGTCACCATTACCATTCTCCAGGTTTTCACTGCTTTCGTAGCAGCCAGAATCCCGAGGAGAGCATCCGGTTAGGCCTTGGCCTTCAATGAGAAGTTTCTCCTGAGATCCTGACTGGTCGCTGTTACCTAGAGGATGTGAGAATACAGTGAAAAACAGGCAAACAGAAAATGCAGCTGAACTTCTCAAACTTCCATTTCAAACACCATTATCTTGCGTGTCCAGAGAAGGGCAATAGAGCTGGTGAAGGGTCTGGAGCACAACCTTATGAGGAGTGGTCGAGGGAGCTGGGGTGTTGAGCCTGGAGAAAAGGAGGCTCAGGGGACACCTAAACACTCTCTGGAATTGCACTGTTGTAGCCAGGTGAGGGGGTCAGCCTCTTCTGCCAAGCAACAAACAATGGGACTAAAGGAAATGGCCTCAAGTTGTGCCAGGGGAGGTTTAGTTTGTGAATTAAGAAAAATTTCTTCACTGAAAAAGTGGTCAGGCACTGGAACAGGTTGCCCAGGGCAGTGGTTCAGTCACCATCACTGGAGGTATTCCAAAGATGTGTAGATGTTGCCCTTATGGACAGGTTTAGTGGTGAACTCGGCTGAACTTGCTGTATCTAAAGGTCTTTACCAACCTAAATGATTCTATGATCTTTCCTACTGTACTACTTACATCAGAAAAGAGCAAGCATTAGGAAAAACCATCAAAAATGTTGGAAACAATAATCCTGTTTGGTGAATGATTAACAACAGCCTCAGCAAGAGTGTGAGGGAGCAGCATGGTTACACAATGAAAGCAGAATGGAATTCCTGTGCTCCTTAGCTGCCTTGAGGCCAGGTTCTGCAACCTACCACCACAGAAATTTATTTCAAATGATTGTGTCAAAGTTCTAAGACTTAAAAAAACCTTCAACACCCAAACCAGAAGAAAAGAGCTGAAAAGAACCAAGTCAAGCAAAAAAGAATAAATTCCTAACTCTGAATTACCTTCCAGAAGACCCAGAGGAAGGATTGGGACTGAGCACATTAGATACTGTGCCCTAACAAAGGATGAAGGGACATGAAGGAGACTAATGGTGCCAATTCCCTCCTTCCTTGGTCTATGTAAAAAGCCAACACTCAAGTGTGGTCCATACACTGGATTCCAGGAATTTACCCAGAATTTTTGTCAGAAATCATATTTTGTTAAGAAGCTAAATCTGGAGCTGAAAATACAGAAAACCAGTGTCATGATACAAGAATACAGTTTATGCAGTGGTATTTTTTTCCCCCTGCAATAAAATGTCAGAAATGGCTACTCCAATTCCTACTCTCAGCACATGACAGATAATTATGAAGTGGAACTATGTGCTGTTGCCTCTCCCAGATTCCATCTGTCTGGTCCCCACTTTTCTTTCTCCTCATCATCCTGACTTGGAGCTGGAATTTGTACTTTTCAACCACCAATCTTCAAGTCTGCAAACCAAAATTGAAGGGTCCTGAAAAAAATTATTTCTTCAGGGAAGTTTAGCATTCTAAATAGGTCTGCAAATAATGAAGAGAAGCTCATCTTAGGTAACAAAAAAGCTATTCTGATATAAATGAAAAGCAACTAATTCTGCAACTTTATTAGGAGTTAGAGAAGGGCAAGGAAAGACTGGATGCTTCTTTGGGAAATGAACAAGAAAACTACACAGGCCACACAGCACTGCCTAAAGATATTCACCACACATATTACTGTAACTGAATTAAGCATTTCCCACTTAATAACAGTTGTTTGAATTGCTGCTATGGCAGTTTAAGCTAAAACATAGGAATTTGCACAGAAGCAGCTGAGGAAGCCATCACACAATCCATTCTACTGACTCTGCTTGGTGGGTACCAACCCTCTACTGACACTTGGGGATGAAGGGCAAATTCAGTACTGTCTTACGTTGCAACAGCTAGGCTCTGCTTACTCCTGTGCAGCAAAGACACCCTTGCATTTGACTGCCATGGCTTATTCCACTTTTCCTTGTCTTTGCAACCACTTGCCCAAGACCATGTGTTCAGTGAGCAAAACTGCACTGTTGTACATAGATAGGTGGGTCACTGCTTTTCACTCTTGGCACTTGACCGATATATTTATTTGCTCCCTTTGAAAATTGCTGCATTGTCATATACACAACCTGAATCTAACTTTACAGTCCTGCAATTAACCGTCCAAGAACCAAAAGCATGTGCAGATGAAATTAATTCACATTACATTTCTCCACAGCCCTCTGGGGTTTGATTTTTTTTACTCCTGACAATCTTAATCTCGTCCCTCTAATATGGAAATTTCTTCTTTCCTATTCTCTATGTCTCAGCCTCCTATTTCGAGTAGGTTATCTCAGGATTTATTCTTGAACATCAGTATTCTAAAGTGTTACATGTTATACACTTGGTATTAATTAAATAAGTTGGTTGGCAAGGCTTATATGAACGGAGTAATTGCAGCAGAACAAAAAAAGCCTTAAGTCACCCCTCAAAAATCTAACGTTACACAGGATTACCCTGGAAATAACTGTATTAGGAAAAAAAATATATCTAAAATCCTGGAACAAGTTTTCTACTTTAAGGGGTTCACAAGGTTCTTGGCAGACCTCTAGTAAAACAGAAAACCTCAAACATCCCACGTACTATCATATTCCTGAAGAAGTTCCACTGCAGTGAGAAGAACAGCTCTGTGCTCAGGATCTCGGATGTTCAGTTCATCCAAATCTTCTTCTTCTAAAAGCTTAAAGGTATCCAGATCTTCATAACCATTGAACAGAAAAGTGGGCATGTGCTCCTGCACAAAGAGAGAAAAAACAAGAAGAGTGGTAAGACAACATATTTATTCAACTTATTTTGTCAATAAAGATACTAAGAGATTTTTGCAACCATCAAGAAAAGCAGTAAGTTAAGTAAGTGCAAACCAGTGCACAGCAGCAAAATTATAACATTATAGTTTGCATAAACACTGCTCTGAGCTCAGGGAGGTAGCTGTGCCAGAACTAGAATGCTCAATGTACTGTTGTGCTTGAAATGCAGTGTGTTAGATGGCCTGGATATCATGCTACCTGAAGGCACAACATGGCATGGCTCTGTGTGAGGGGAGAAGTATGAAGACTGAATGACAGCCACACCAATTTATCCCGAGCACTTCTGAAAAGAAACACGGATAAAAGTGTCCACCTTAAAGGCAGCATAACTGTTGTGATTTTACACTTTTTGCTTGCCTCTGGAGCGTGCTAGCCTATGGTCATACTGTGCAAGGATTTATGGCGTCTGAGCGCACACAACTCACAGCCTGTGGCACTTCATCAGGCCTGACAGGCACTTCTGCCTGGCTGCAGCTATTTTCACTCTGCAACTAAGACCTGATTCTGCTAAGCAGTGTTACAGTCCTTAGGACTATGAATCTGGTCTGCAGCTTCCAAAACTAACAACTTCAAAGGTGTGGACCCCTTCCTGCAAGAAAAAGTGAAAGGGTAAGGAGAGAGAGAGAATTTGGACCTTCAAATTGATGCGATCCAAGAGATCCTCGACTGACTTGGGCTGGGGTGGTCTGCTTTTTCGACGTCTCCTGGTGGGCCGCTTCGGCTTCTCTTCCTCTTCATTTAACACATCCACATAGATAAATTTGAAGGTGCCAACTTTGTTGTTCAACAGACCCATCCAAGTGCCCATGGGGGGTTTGCTGATTATATCAATGATGTCACCTTTCTGCAGACCAAAGAAGCAAGAAAGCCATTTAGCTTTCTGATAGATATTTAAGCAAACACAGTCACTTGGATTTCCACGTACATGGGATGGACAACACGCTTCAGTTTTCAAAAGGTCAACCACAGCTTTTGCAAAAATGTCTGATTATACTTGTTTTACAAATGGAAGAAAAAGGAATTAGGTGACGTGCTTCAGATCACAGAGCAAGTCAAAAAAAGATCCTGGAACGGACCCCAACTTCCCAGATTCACAAACCTGCTGACATCTCTGTAGAGCATCAGTGCTGTTTGGTACAAAAGTCTCTATGCTTGCAACTACCTGAAACTGGTGCAAATAAGAATACGCTCAGTGTATATGAGCAGAATTTCAAATCAGATCTCCTGAGCAAAGGAAGCCAATGGAGAAGGAACCAATAAAGTTGCTTTTCCTAATGTGCTCCTGATCATAACAAAGAAATGGACACACAACTGCTTTTGCATGCCTCAAGAGATTGCCTAACACACATCAGCTTTAATAGGAATTAGCTGCTCTTGGAATTTTAAGTAATGAATGTCAGGAGTCAGATAGTTTGAACTGAATACAGCACAACTAAAAATAATCAAAGCTGATATCCAGAAAAATTAAAGGGGGGTGACCACTCAGTTAGCAAAATATTTCAATATCAACTCAAATCAAGTTATAGTAACTGAAATGCCTTTAAGAGACATTGTGTGCAGGTGCATGCACATTTCTTCCAAGAGTTCTGAAAATTTTTCCATTGAGGATTATTTCATTGTGGCAGACAAAGTATTTTTCCAATCTTTCAAGCAAAACTGTTGCAAAATGGAAATGAATTCATGGCACATCTTTAATTTTAAAGAAACTAAAGACACAAGTGTCTTTCCATGGATGCAGAGAAACACTAGTACTTACTTACATTCTGTAACATTTTGCTATAAATCTATAATTTATATATATGGAAATCTTTAATTTAGAAGACACTTAAAGGGCTTCCAAAACACATAAATTCATTAAAAGATTAAGAATTCTATAGTTATTGTAAAAAAGTCTTAATTTAGAATTTTAGCAAAATAAATGTTTAACTCCTTAAAAACAAATATAGCCAGTACCTTGAGCTTCAGAGAATCTGTATCATAAGGACTCGGAGTAAAATCAGTGTGAACCCTGGCTCTTCCACAAAACGGCCCTCTGTAAGGAGGCTCTTCATCATCACCATCTTCTGATTTCACACTCTCCCTATTGCTGGTTGAGGAATCTGTTGTGCTCACTGTCTGACCACCTGTGTGAGAGACACAGTATTAGTTCACAAAAGTTTCTTTGTGAAGAAGCTTCATAAACAGAGGCAAAACAGAAAAGGAGTCGTCTTTCCACAAAACATGGTAATCAAAGTTAAATGTCCTTAAATGCTG